TAGCTGGAAATATAGGTGTGAGCCACCATGCCTGGCTAATTTTTGTATTTTTTGTAGAGATGGGGTTTTACCGTGTTGCCCAGGCTGGTCTTGAACTCCTTGGCTCAAGTGATCCGCCTGCCTCGGCCTCCCACAGTGCTGGGATTACATAGTGTAAAACACTGCACCCAGTTGGTTTTCAATAAGTTTTTAGCATAATGAGGTCCTGGGACCAAAACATTTGTGAAACACTGGTCTAGATAAAATATAACTGAAGTGAATCTAGACAAGTCTGAAGCTATAAGTAATTTATTTAATTAGTGCCTATGTTTTGTAGAGCTGTGGTATAAGTACTATCAAAAGTGGAACAAGGATACAAAACTGGCCTGAGGTAAAGTCCCTGAAGACAAACATAAATAATTAGCAAGGTCATGCCCTGTTCCTTCCACAGGTGTTTCTGAGTACAAGGACTGTGATCTGATGGTGTGGAACTCAGCACTGACCTTTGGAATGGCTGGCTGTGTCAGAGTTAGAGAATTTGCTCAAACTAGCTGAAGACAAAGACTGTGGGTGAGGCAAAATCTAAGTTGGAAGTGAAGTAAGAGGATATTTAAGGCATTTAAGGCATTATCCTTTGGAACTTTGGAACTCAACTAAAATATCACCTTTCTTAGAAAGGCCCTTCCTGATTTCCCTGTCTACATACAACACCAACTACCTTCTACTCCATCATACTACCCTGTAACCTCATTTATTTCCTTTCTAGCACCTTTAAAAAAAAAAAACAAAACAACAACAACAACAACAAAAACAAAACCAAACCTAACATAGCTATTAAGGTAAGCCTGGCTGGAGCTAGAATGCCTTGGTTCAAATATCAGCTTTGCCACTTTGTAGTTCCAGAATCTTTAATAAATTATTTAACCTCTCTTCGGTATAAATATTATAAAATATGGAACAAGGCCCAGGTGTGGTGGCTTACGCCTATAATCCCAGCATTTTGGGAGGCTGAGGTGGGTGGATCACCTGAAGTTGTGAGTTCAAGACCAGCATGGCCAACATGGTAAAACCCCATCTCTACTAAAATTACAAAATTTAGCTGGGTGTGGTAGCGCGTGCCTATAATCCCAGCTACTCTGGAGGCTGAGGCATGAGAATCGCTTGAAGCCAGGCGGGAGAGGTTGCAGTGAACCACTGGGCCGAGACTGCACCATTGCACTCCAGCCTGGGTGATGGAGCCCGACTCTGTCTCAAAAAAAAAAAAAAAAAAGAAAAAAGAAAAAAGTAGAACAAGGATACAAAACTGGAATGAGGTGTAGTCTCTGAAAACAAAATAAATAATTAACAAAATCATTCATTTGTCACTTCCACAGGTGTTTCCTCAGTGCCTCAATAAAACGTACTCATCAAGCCAGACATTTTTGTTGAAGAGCTGGCTTAGGCTGTAACCATGGAACCGAAAAGGAAAGGCTGGCTCTGAACCAAGTCAAAGGCAGAATCACTAGGTGATGACAAAGAAGACGGACAGTAAAAGGAATTGCAAGGAGAGAAGACAGATAAGAGAAAATTCTGGGGAGAATGAAATGAAAAGGCAACCAATGATATGCGGGTAAGGAAAGAGTGAAAAAACAAAAAGGACCCCAAAGTTTGTTGCTTGAGGGACAGGATAGAAGCTAGCGGGCTAGTATCAGTTAACTGCTCCAGTGGGGAAAGGAGGATGATGTCAAATTCAGGTTTAAAATGAGTTGGCAGCAGGCCGGGTGCGGTGGCTCACGGCTGTAATCCCAGCACTTTGGGAGGCCGAGGCAGGTGGATCACGAGGTCAAGAGATCGAGACCATCCTGATCAACATGGTGAAACCCCATCTCTACTAAAAATACAAAAAATTAGCTGGGCATGGTGGCTCGTGCCTGTAATCCCAGCTACTCAGGAGGCTGAGGCAGGAGAATTGCCTGAACCCAGGAGGCGGAGGTTGCGGTGAGCTGAGATCGCGCCATTGCACTCCAGCCTGGGTAACAAGAGTGAAACTCCGTCTCAAAAAAAAAAAAAAAAAAAAAAAAAAGAGTTGGCAGCAAGAACTCAATTGCAGATGATTTGTTTTTAGAGGGCTAGAGTGATGGGCCCTGACAAAAGAATGTTCAGGGTGGACAAAATTTGGGTGTCTGCTCATTGTGTGTCAGGGCTGAAATTATCAAGAAACCCTGCGGGGCTTCAAATGCTGACCCGTATGGAGAAGGAAAATTTTCTTTAATACTTATGATGATATTCTTATCATTGGTAAAAGGTGCTTAATACGCTGCTATCAAATGCCTTTTGGGGGATGGGGTTTTTCAGAAAAAATAAAGCACTGATTCAACCCAAGGAACTGCATAGTAAAGGGGTATGTTTCTCAATTTTAACTTTCCACGTATCTTTGAAAGGTAAAATAATGTGTTTCAAGTTGCTTTTACAAGGGAAAGCTTGGGCCATCTCCTTCCTAGCAAGGACATCTTGCTGCTCAACTCACAATTGTACACACTGCTCTTGTTGACACAGTTTCATAGCACTCTTAGTTCCAGGCTAAAGTTTCCTGTCATGATTTTTGGGCATCCTTTTTGAAACAGACATTCTGACCTGGCAAGCTGCTGAGACCTTTTAGGACGGCTGAACTGCAGATAGGAATCTTACAGGGAAGTAGGTGTGGGCAGGATGTGTGGTTTCCCTGCCTCTCATTTGAAGACTGATTGGATTAATTTTTTCATGAACAGTCTCCTACAGTAAAAGTTGCATTCCAGAGTGTTCTAAGAGGAATTGGAAGGGACAAGTTGGCTACTCACCTTCTTCAGTTTGAGTTGAGGCTAGAGTATTCTCTTTCTGAATGCCACAGGAACGCACGCAGGGAAACTGTGCCCCTACCATAATGTCAAACCAGCCCCCTTTGCTAATGGGACCTTGATGACTCAAATTAGCCATAACAATAACACACAGCAGAGCATGTACTTGTTTACCAAGAAATCTGAATGAGCAGGAAGATGCAATAACGTGCCTCAGCCTGGCTCTGAATGAGTGCACAGCAGCCTGAACCTATGAAAGATAGAGTATTTCTAAACTTTTGGTGAGACAACACACACACACATTCTTTCTCTGACATTCCAGGCTAACCGCTGTCTTAAGTTAAGACTCTGCAAAACATCTGGGACATATGTTTCTGGAAAAAATTATAGCATCTTTTCTATAACTCTCTCTGGTCTGATCTTTGTAAGCTCTGACCTGACGGGGCCTCTGCAGCAGGATTACCAGTGGGGGCCCGGGGAAGCTGCCCCACAGCACAGAGAGGCATTTACTAAATGCAGTTCACTTTCCCTTACCATTCAATTACCTAGTGCCACTTAGGAACAAAGTACAGAGCAGAGAAAGCTTTAAACAGGAATAAAATGCAGATGCTACTGTCCCTGAAAAAATAACATTCTCTCCAGAAAAGTCAAGGCTTATTTCACCTCAGCCCCTGTTGAATGATACTAATAGGTCGTCTGATACTCCAGGTCTATAGGTCAGTGGAAACAGCCAGTGCCTGAGATTTGAGGATTAAATCAAAGCACAGTGAACTATCACTTGGCTGCCCCAGGCCCACTAAATCCAGACAGCCAAGCGTTCTCACCATTCTGAGACATCTTTGGCTACACATTTCTCCAGCCAAAAACCTAGGAAAATGTCCGGCTGACAGATGCACCTCCTGTTACTTGATTCAGAGAAGGAAGTTATTTCTTTTTCATTTTCTTTCTTTTTTTTTTTTTTAAAAAAAAAGAAAAGAAAGGCTAGATAAGCTTCAGGATTTAAATTTTACACAATCGTGGGTAATCATGTCTCTTTTCACTAAAATTCAATCACTTCATTAATCACCATTTCTTTAGATTTATAACATACTTATAAAACTATACATAAACTGAAATACTACAGGAGAGGATCTTCCCTCTCTTTCCTTCCCTCCTTCCTTCCTTCCTTTCTTTTGTTGCTTTGTTAAAGAGCAGAGCTCAGACGGAGGGAAACAGAATTCCTGTTTTAGGAGTTCCCTGGGCCAGGCATGGCACTAAATGTATACTGCTATTACAGTAGACATGGCACCAGTAGAAACACAGTCTCAACACAGAAACACAGGACCAGCGACATCATTTATAGGGTCTAAAATACCAGTTCATTGTTTAAAAAATTATTAAGAAATTCAAGAGAGTGACAGCAGAACATTAAACCAAGTGTGGGCCCTCTTAAGTGTAGAACTCTATGTGACTGCATAGGCCACACACCCATGAAATGCCCCGCTATGAAGCCAGCCGCACCTGAACTCGAATTGTGGCTTTGCCACTTACTAGTCATGTGGCCTTAGACAAGTCAGCTGTAAAATGGGAATAACAACAGTCCCTACATCATTGAGTTCTTAAGATTAAATAATATCTGAAAAACACTTACAGGAATATCTGGCATACAGCAAGCACTATACAAATGTCTAGTAAATACATAATCTAGCAAGCCTCAACATCTCAAAATGCCAGGGACAGATACAGCCATGACACTGTGTAGTATTTACTAAAGCATTTTGTTAATGTTTTGAGAGTCTGAATTACTGATAGGTAGAATCATGTTTTTATTACTATGACAATGGTCATCTTTAATTCATTTTAACAATTAAACAAGAGATTTTAGAATATACTCTGTATTAAGGCCAGCTACTCCAAAAGCAAGACTGAAGCACAAAAAAAGATACTGGTTTATGCTCAAAGTTCTGGAGGCTTGTGGAATACAAATTGTCATGAAGCCAATTTAATATAACTGCTTCCTTTATGCTGAAAGGATTCACGGGGGACATCAGTGTTTCCATACAGGAAATAAAGCCTTTTGTATCTGAACAAAAACTCAGAAATACCTTTCTTTTTTTCTTCTTTTAAAATACAGAATACTTAAAAAAGCTATAGGACAGGAAATGTTACTAATCATACAAGTACTATATTTAGTTATGTTTAAAAAAATACCACTAAAACAGTCAGAAGAAAATTTCAGGTGGTGATACATATTTTTTTCTGGAAAAGAAATTTGGTTTACATAGGCATAAACATTTAGTAGTTATTGCTTGTCAATGCTTGTTTCATAAGAGAAGCCTGTTTCTTCAGAGTCCTCTGTACACTTTTTATTCCTTACCATCAATAATTCTCAGGACTGTCAGACACCTTACAATAAACATGTAGGGGTTTTTTCCCCTCCAATTTGAGTACATACTACTGTTAACTGCAAAATTCTAAAGAAGTCAGTTGCCATTTGTCAAACAATTCGCCCGAGGTACACGGATTTGGGATACTTTTCTTTCAGAGCTGGCCACTGAACAATGAAGTAATCTGAGAGATGAAACAGAATCTTTCCGGACAGGGATAACGTTTCTACACGGCAGATGCTTTCAACGTAGACAATGATCACTTTCTTTATTCCTAGTATCCCAAGGAGAAGGGCAGATACACAGATAGGAACACATGTTCCTGGCCCGTTACACAACACCTGAAAGAAAAAGTTGAAGGTCAAAGGAAAATACAAAATAATAATCTAAGGGAGGCATTTTGCATTAAGAATATCTGATCTCAGAGTGGATTTACTTATTATCCTAGTAAGTCCTTCTCTGTCAAGAACCAAGATGCAGCAAACAGTGCATGTTTAAGTACTTGGGACCCAGGCAGAGCTGTGTTGTCGTGGCTGTCTTGCTTACCAACTGTGTAACTCAGAGCAAATCACTTAACTTCTGACTCCTAGCACGGTGCCTGGTGCTCAGTCAGCACTCATTGGACAGGCATGTGTTGCCCTTCTCTGACTGCTTTGTGGACCTTGAATGTCAAATAAATATATAGAAAACAGATAAAATCAACTAAGAGTCACTCTGTTTTCTTTCACCAACTTCTTCCTGATGTGGGAGAAAATGTCTTTGATTGACTATATAGAATATTTTTGTGGGATGTGGACTAATTTTAGGAGTTCAATCCAACAAATGAGATTTTCAGGAGAAGACTACCACATGAATGAGATTTTCCCTCAAGAGCAGTTTAATATATGTTCGTAATACAGAAGAGTTTTAATGCTTTTAATTCTGCAGATTTTTGTAGAAAGCCACTAATTAAAAACAATTTAGTTGACTAATGTAACAAGAGAAGTAAAAATTCAACTCAGAATGACTGCGAAGAATTTTTATAAGCCATTTAAGAAAATAAGAGAAAATCTATTTCAGAGAATTGTTGGTAAGATAATATATTACTGTTTTCAGAGGAAAAAGCATTTTACACAACATCTTTTTTTTTTTTTTTTGAGACGGAGTTTTTTCGCTCTTGTTACCCAGGCTGGAGTGCAATGGTGCGATCTCGGCTCACCGCAACCTCCACCTCCTGGGTTCAGGCAATTCTCCTGCCTCAGCCTCCTAAGTAGCTGGGATTACAGGCACGCGCCACCATGCCCAGCTAGTTTTTTTGTAATTTTTAGTAGAGATGGGGTTTCACCATGTTGACCAGGATGGTCTCGATCTCTTGACCTCGTGATCCACCCGCCTTGGCCTCCCAAAGTGCTGGGATTACAGGCTTGAGCCACCGCGCCCGGCCTACACAACATCTTAATCATATGTTCATGTTGACTGAATTAGTAAAATCTAATAAAACATTTTATTCTCCAAACCATAAAACAAGAGGTTTGTGATTGTCTACATATACCTATTGGGCATGCTCTATAATGTCACATGATCTTACCTACCTGAGGTTCACAAAACTTAGCGGACACCAGCGAATCTTAGAGCTGGAAAGGTCCCCACATGTATTGTCTATATTGTTTATACCACCGTAGCATTTCAAAGACTCTCTCTGACAGAAAGACGGCCGTCTTGCCTCCATGTGAATTTGGTCAGGGATACAGGGGTTGAAAAAGGTCACGTGGTCTAGGCTCTACCAGGAGGCATGACCACCTGGAACACCATTCACAGAGCTTTGGGAAAATAATCTGTTTCAGGTAAGACCAATCTTCCTTATGTCTTCCTGGAAGCTCTCTACCTGCAATCTTCAAACCCCCTTTCTGTCTTTTATGGAGTATTTATGTTCAAATTTTCTCTTGAATTACCAGCTACTAAGCTGCTGTCCACACTAGTCTTTAACCTCTACTAAGTTGCCCCATAACCTTTCTGCATAGTCCCCTGAGGCAGTGTAGTAAAAAGAAAATGTAACTGAGAGTCAGGGGAACAGGGTTAAACAAACTGCAAATCAGCTGACTCTGGGAAACAGCAGAAATGACAATCACGACCTCAGCCCTCACCACTGCTATTTATTAACAGTGCACTATGGCCAAGTACTGTATTAAACATTTCATATGTATTACCTTTTTTTTTTTTTTTTTGAGATGAAGTCTCAATGTGTTGCCCAAGCTAGAGTGTAGCAGTGTGATCTCGGCTCATTGCAACCTCTACCTCCTGGGTTCAAGTGATTCTCCTGCCTCAGCCTTCCTAGTATCTGGGACTACAGGCGCATGCCCCCATGCTAATTTTTGTATTTTCAGTAGAGATGGGGTTTCACTATGTTGGCCAGGTTGGTCTTGAACTCCTGACCTTGTGATCCACCTGCCTTGGCCTCCCAAAGTGCTGGGATTACGGGCTTGAGCCACTGCACCCAGCCATATTACATTTGAATTAATCTTCACAGCAATCATTTGAGGTAAGTTCTTTTTGTTTGTTTGTTTTTTGATAACTCTGTATCCTTCCAATTTTAGTGTACGTGCTGCCGAAGTGAATACAAGCAAGTTGTATGATTCCTTTCTGCAGATGAGAAAAGGGAGGCACACAGTAGTTAGACAAGTTGCTTGATCCCATGTTTAGGAGGTGAAGGAGTTACGGTGCTTCAGGTAACTTATTTCCTATGTGAGTCAATTACCTTATCTAGGAAATGGGTAGACTGGACTAAATGACTTTTCCTTTCAGCTCCAGGGTTCTATAACTATAACTTTCCTCTGTCTTTGACTTAAACCTAAATTACAAACTTGCTCTGAGTCTTTTCAATGTTTAGAATTCCAAAAATCCTATTATTGCCAGGTGTTATTAATGTTTTGGACTGGATACTTTTTAGTTATGGGGGCTTGTCTTGTGCATCTTAGCATGCTTTGCAGTATCCCTGGCCTCTACCCACAAGATTCCAGTAATCAAGGCCACCAAGAATGACTCCAGTCACTGCCAAATGTCTCCAGTTGACAACCACCATATTGACGTACTCCCTAATCCTCAGATTATTTGTGCTGCGTTTTTCTTAGTCTTTGTTTCAGTAGTACAGAACAAAATAAAAATTACAGCTAAAAAATAATGTAAGGATTCCTCAATCCTGAATGTCAGAGAAATAATTTCATATTTGTTGCTTTTTAAAAAAATGTACAAATCCACATGTTCATTTCAACATTGAATCAACTCTCAATATACAAACGATGTATACCCAGATAGAGATGTCTGTATATGGGAAGGAAAATGACTGGCATTGGTGGGAGATGCATTAACAACCTAGAGACTGATAAGGTAAAAGTGTAAATTAAAGGTGTTTTGTTTATCTCTGTTGTATCCGTATATTTTGAAGCACCTTACTACAAAAGTCCCTGGTACAATAAAACCACAAACCCATAAATCAAGGACTAAAAAAAAAAAAAGCAAACTAATCTCAAAGGAAACCTAATCTAAGGAAAGCTACTTTCAATTACACAAAGGTTTTACTGCTTTTTGCAGCGGCCTAGGCAAAAAAATAAAAGTGGATTATGGAGTCTTCATTATTCAAAGAAGCATACCAGAGAGACTTATTCCAAGCATTGAACAAAGCAGAGTTCACTGAGACAGTCTAAGTAAAGATGTTAAACGATATAATGATTGGAGCTGTCTTTTTAATTTTAAAAAACACAGAAATGCTCTTCATACTTCTATTTCTCAAAATAGAAATTCTCAATGAATGTGAGCCCATCATCCTGGCCATCTCTCTTCCTCACTACTTGGGAAGCTTCTTATGGGCAGAGTCCACTTCTAGGACAGTGTATTCTCTGCACCTAGAACAAAGTAGCCATTCACTAAGTTTTGCTGAAAGGAAGAAAAAAGGAAAGGAAGAAGCAAGGGAGTATAGGAGTGGGTCTTTGCTTACCCTATATTGAGTCAAACATTGCCTTTGCCAAACTTGACCATCTGTAATTCTAACCATAGACTTATGTGGTTGCCTGACAGCTTTTTTTTTTTTTTTTAAACCATCCCACATCCATCACCTTTTCCTCAGGGGAACGAACCAGTGTATCCCTTGCTCTCAACTTCAGTGTTTGTGTAGAGCTGACCCCACACCCAGCTATAAGGAGATGTAGGACTCCAATCTGACCAATCAGAGCATCGGATTTGCCTGGTGACAGTCATTGGTTTGGGGAAGAGCACACTGTCCAGTCAGAAACCACAAAACTTAGCAGAACACTTGGTGGGACTGCTGAGAAAGCAGCGTATTGTTTACTGTTCTGGAACTAAAGAGGATGTGGCCTTGGTGCTGTTGACATCCATTTTGCCACCATGTAGAGGGCTTGAGAATGAAGCCATCACAAAGCAGAGCGGAGCCGAGAGACGAAGACAGGCTAGGTCCCAAACGCAGCATTAAGACCTATGAATCCAGCTGTGCCTGAAGGAAACCAGATCTGTCCCTAGACTTGCCAGGTAGGTGAGGGGCTACATTCTATTTCTGCTTCAGTCATTGGAATCAGGATTTCTGTTACTGGCAATAAGAAGCATACTAACTGACAAAGCCCTTTATTTTGTCCAACTCTATGACGGGCCTCTGACTATCTACAGCATAAACCAGTAGGTGTTCAGTATGTGCCTGTTGGTTGATGAATAAACCAATAAATAAACTTCTCCAAGAGCAGGAAGTCTAGGAGATACACTAAAAAGAATATGTTATATGATTCTAGAAAACAGAAAGAAGACCTGACCAATATAAATACAAGGTCATGAGCACAGATGAGCCAGATCAAGGATCAAGAACAGTTTCAACAGGGTGGTTGTTCTGTAGATTTGGGTCACCAGAGGTCAAGTCCCATTGGCTGAAACATAACATTCTGCACGTATGAAAAGGTGTATTTTCAGGAAACTCAAAGATAAGAAAAATAAATAAATAAATAAATAAATAGAAAAGACATATTTAACTTGAGTAGTCTGAATTTGACTCCTGACCCAGTAGAACACCCCCGCCCACCTCTGCCAAACATGATGAGCTAAGAACTTCGGCACTCTGGGTTGGTTAGTAGGTCAGAGATCATGAAGTTGAGGGTGACCCGAGAGAGAGACTGAAAGGCAGATGAAGAGTCCAATTAAGGCTTCAATTTTAAGAGACTGGACAGAGAAGCAGAGTCCAACTCTAAGGCACTGGCCCAAACCCAGACTTTCTGATAGCCTCTTGCTGATGGAGATGAAGGCTGGAGAGAGGTCAGGAACTATGGAGACATGGCTCCACCATGCAGACAGGTAAATGGGAGATGAGGAAGGGAGAAAACACTGACATGTGGGAATAGCCAGTAGATAAAGAAAGAGAAGAAGCTTGGTTGTAAATCTGAACAGTAAGCTGAGTCAGGAAAGTTGCTTTAAGAATGGTTAGACAAGTAAGGGGAAAACCGCAAGAGGCTAGAAGATCCCTTGCCTATCCCCAGAAGTGTGTCAAAGATAATGCAATGATCAGTACTATTTCTAGCAGGTAGTAGAGCTACAAAGATAGCAGCAGAGAAAAGATCTTCAGATTTGTTCAAGAGAAGAGTAATAGAAACCTCAGAGATGGCTATTGGACCAAAATACAGGGCAGGGGGAGTAAGCACGCTGTGGGAGAGGGGCGAGCACGCGTCAGCTGGACAAGCCAGGAGGGCTGGGGAGAGGGTTTACAGAATGGAATGAACAATCTACATGTGAGCATAAAGGTCAGTGAGAACAAACTGAGTGAAGGAGGAAATAATCACATAGAAAAGGGTGAATACTTTCAATACCAGCAGAAAAAAGTATTAAAAGTATTTGGTTCATGAGATTGGTTTGGGAAAAGTTGTGCTTTCTGAGAATATGATAGAAGATAAAAATAGTGGCATGGAAATTTTGCCCTCTTTTAGATATTCACTTTTCAGCCCAGTGTGAAAAATACAGAGAAGCACAGAAAGAACACAATCCTTTTAATCTCACCAATCTTAACATCTTGGTGCATTCTCTTCTAACTTCTTTGTGTATATTTATATTCTAATATAAAATACGTTCATATATGCACATTTGCAATTGTGAGAGCTTATACATAACATTAGTAAAGTTATTTTTACTTATATTTGTTTTAAAAATATTTTTAAAAACCCCGTGGTTTTTAATGACTGTATATATTTAATCCTACAGATACCTTATAACTAATTTAACCATTCTCTTGTTAATGGAAATGGTTCTTAATGTAAATGGTTATTTAGGCTGACTCCTTTTTTGCTATTCTAAATCATACTATTATGAACATCTTTGTGTATAAATCTGTGATCCCTAAAGTTTTCGTTTTGCATTAAACTATATTCCAGAGTTCTTGCTGAGTTAGAGGTTAGAAGAAGTGGCTTTGAGGATTTAAGGAAGTTGTGGAAAGTTTAATAGAACAGTCATTATGGATCAGGCATGGACCATGTGGTCTTTTTTTTTTTCTTTGTTTTGTTGCTGTCTAGAATTTGTTTCAGCGATTTCCCAGTGTTATGAGCTGCGGTTACAGGCAGGGCGCCTTCTCACAGCAGACTTTCTAGGTTTCCTTGCAGCTAACAGATGGGCTACTGACTTGGCCAGCTGTTTCTGCTCAGATCTGTCCAGGAGCTAGTGGTACAGACGAGCAAGGCTAGAGAAGACTCTGTCCTGGTAGCAAAGGTGCTGCTGGCTGGGGCGTGTCGGTGGTGCCAGGTGCAGTGTCCACTGTCCAGCAACAGTAGCAGTAGTGTCTCCTGAAACCAGCTCTGTGGCCATGGAATTCCAGTCAGGGTTCTAGCTGCTGAGTTCTCACTTTGTCCCTCTATATTTTCTAAGCTGCTTAATTAACATTCCTGATAATTTCGAGTTCTTGATAGGCTTCAATAAATCCTTTTTCTGTTTCAATCAGCCAGAGTAGATTTCCACAGTTTGCTATCAAGAACCCTAACTAGATGGGAGAAACAAAGATTTCAGAGCAGCAAAGCAGAGACAGAGGGTCCAGATCACACCGGAACAGTCACAGGGTTTCCTCAGGCAGGGCTAAAAGTACTGGAGCATGGGCATACGAATCAGACAGGGCCAAACGTGGATGAGGACTGCACAGAAAAAGAGGCTGGGAGAGTGCTCCAGGGTATGGAAAAGATAAGCAAAAGGCCTTTTCTAAGATAGGAAGGCCAGAGCAGTGAAAAACCCCTCAGACAATGATGACAGAGAAGCAGAGAAGAATCTGAGAGTAATCAAGGGAGTAAGGAAGAAAATGCAGTTGGAGCCAGGTGGTGCATAATATGCAGAGGTCACAGTCAGGGAACAGGAAGGCTGGGGTGAAGCCCGGGAAAGAGTGCTGAACGTCAGCGACCGGTGGAGGTGGACAGCAGGAAGGAAAAGGATGTGCAGCAGATGGGGATGACGTATTTGCTTGGCTCACATGACGGTACATTGTACTTATTTTTTATGTTACATAATCATCTGAGGAGTAACAGTTAAACAGAAACATCTAAACATCAAAACCAACATTAATCACCAAATAAATTCTAAACCCTCAAATCACTGACTATTTATGAAGCTCAAGGTCTTTTTTTTTTTTTGAAATGGAGTCTTGCTCTGTTGCCAGGCTGGAGTGCAACGGCATGATCCCAGCTCACTGCAACCTCTGCCTCCTTGGTTCAAGCGATTCCCCTGCCTCAGCCTCCCAAGTAGCTGGGACTACAGGCATGTGCTGCCACACCTGGCTAGTTTTTTGTATTTTAGTGGAGACGGGGTTTCATCATGTTGGCTAGGATGGTCTCCATCTCCTCACCTCGTGATCCTCCCACCTCAGCCTCCCAAAGTGTTGGGATTACAGGCGTAAGCCACCATGCCCAGCCAACTTCAAAGTCTCTTACAATTCTATTGGTAACTGAATTTTCAGAGATGTCATCATTGTGTATACAGCATTTGGGGTCTACTTTTCCACATACACAGTTATGTCCATTCCATGTTTCTATGTAGGCACAACTGCTCCACTGCGTGAACCTACCAGTCCTCTAGCCACTTCTGATTTCTCTTTACCCAGCATAGCGTTCCACTTCTTTTAAACCCTACCAAGAAGGTAAGGAAGTTATAAATTGCTTTTATTTAGGCTACTGCACTAATGGCTGGTTTTGTTGTTTTGTTTTGAGATGGAGTCTTGTTCTGTTGCCCAGGCTGGAGTGCAGTGATGTGATCTCGGCTCACTGCAACCTCCGCCTCCTGGCTTCAAGTGATTCTCCTGACTCGGCCTCCTCAGTAGCTGGGATTATAGGCATAGGCCACCATGCCCGGCTAATTTTTTTTGGTATTTTTAGTAGAGATGGGGTTTCACCATATTGGCCAGGCTGGTTTCAAACTTCTGCCCTTGTGATCTGCCCACCTTGGCCTCCCAAAGTTCTGGGATTACAGGTGTGAGCCACTGTGCCCGACCCCTAATGCACTAATGTTTTAAGGATATTGAATTTATTGGTGCATCCTCAAATATTAGTTACTTGCATTTTGCTTGCATTAGTGACAACTCAAAAAAAATGATTTCCAATTTAATCAAATAAATAACAAATAGTAAGCTTTGGTTCTATAGGATCTTGCCCAATTGACAAGTGCCCTCTAATGTGCTCTATTGATTATTCTGGTCTGGTCAGAATCTTCCTGCTTGTTGTATGTTCACTACTCTATCAAGAGGCTGAGTAACATGGTGCTTATGTGCCAAGGCTTTGCAATCATGCAGACCCGGGTTGGCTGCTTAACAGCAATGTGACCTGGGACAGCTTACTTAACCATGCCATGTCTCAGTTTCCCCTGTCATGAATTCATTCATTCAACAAATATTTTATTGAGCAAAGATAATATGACACATACTGTTCTGAACAGATTTATTAATGAACAGAAGTCCCTGACCTTACAAGGGTTACATTCCACTGGGTTGGCAGAAAATAATATATAGTCATGTGTTGCTTAACAATGGGGATACCTTCTGAGAAATGCATCATTACGTGATTTCACTGTGTGCGCACATCATAGGGTGTACTTATAAAAATCTGGATGGGAGACCTCGCCGGCTTAACGCTCACCTTGGTGTCTGCAGCACCCTCTGCTTCTCTCCCAGGTGATGAAACCCAGCAGCTAGAAATTCACCATGTCTATTCTCAAGATCCGTGCCAGGGAGATCTTTGACTCTCGTGGGAATCCCACTGTTGAGGCTGATTTCTTCACTGCAAAAGGTCTCTTCAGAGCTGCTGTGCCCAGTGGTGCTTCAACTGGTATCTATGAGGCCCTAGAGCTCCGGGACAATGACAAGACTCGCTATATGGGGAAGGGTGTCTCAAAGGCTATTGAGCGCATCAATAAAACTATTGTGCCTGCCCTGGTTATCGAGACACCCTGAACATCACAGAACAAGAGAAGATTGACAAACATGATTGAGATGGATGGAACAGAAAATAAATATAATTTTGGTGCGAACGCCATTCTGGGGGTGTTCCTTGTCATCTGCAAAGCTGGAGCTATTGAGAAAGGGGTCCCCCGTACTGCCACATTGCTCACTTGGCTGACAACTCCAAAGTCATCCTGCCAGTCCTGGTGTTCAATGTCGACAATGGTAGTTCCCATGCTGGCAACAAGCTGGCCATGCAGGAGTTCGTGATCCTCCCAGTGGGTGCCACAAACTTCAGGGAAGCCATGCGCATTGGAACAGAGGTTTGCCACATCCTGAAGAATGTCATCAAGGAGAAATACGGGAAAGATGCCACCAATATGGGGGATGAAGGCAGGTTTGCTCCCAAAATCCTGGAGAATAAAGAAGGCCTGGAGCTGCTGAAGACTGATTAGGAAAGCTGGCTACACCAGTAAGGTAGTTATTAGCATGGACGTAGTGGCCTCCAGTTCTTCAGGTCTGGGAAGTATGACCCGGACTTCAAGTCTCCCAGTGACCCCAGCAGTTACATCTCACCTGACCAGCTGGCTGACCTGTACAAGTCCTTCATCAAGAACTACCCAGTGGTGTCTATCCAGGATCCCTTTGACCAGGATGACTGGGGAGCTTAGCAGAAGTTCAAGGTCAGTGCAGGAATCCAGGTAGTGGCGGATGATCTCGCAGTGACCAGCCCAAAGAGGATTGCCAAGGCCGCAAATGAGAAGTCATGCAACTGCCTCCTGCGCAAAGTGGACCAGGCCTGTGGTTGGGGCATCGTGGTGTCTCATCATTCTGGGGAGACTGAAGATACCTTCATTGCTGACCTGGTGGTGGGGCTGTGCACTGGGCAGATCAAGACTGATGGCCCTTGCCGATTGGAGCACTTGGCCAAGTACAACCAGCTCCTCAGAAATGAGGAGGAGCTGCACAGCAAGGCTAAGTTTGCCGGCAGGAACTTCAGAACGCCCCTGGCCAAGTAAGCTGTGGGCAGGCCAGCCCTTCAGCCCTTCAGTCACCTGTTGGCTACTTAGACTCCTCCCCTCGTGTCAGCTCAGGCAGGTCCAGGCCCCCGACCAACACTCACAGGGGCCCCTGCAAGTAGCTCCCCTTGCCCACTGCTGTGGCGTTCACACTGCTTCCTTAAACCTCTACAGCAGCCAAGCTCCCCGAAGCCCTCTGGGCAGCTCTAGCTTTGCAGTCGTGTAACTGGCCCAAATCATTGCTTTTCTCACCTCACTTTCCACCAAGTGTCTGGAGCCATGTGAGCCTCCAGTGTCACCTCCGGGGTGGCCACAGGCAAGATCCCCAGTGGTTTTGTGCTCAAAATAAAAAGCCTCAGTGACCCATGAGGAAAAAAAAAATCTGGATGGTACACCTACACTATATTGTATAGCCTACTACTTCTGTTGGGCCACAAATCTACACAGCATGCTACTATACTGAATATTGTAAGCAGCTGTAACACATGGTTAAATATTTGTATATCGAAACATACCTGAACATAGAGAAAATACAGTAAAAATACTATATAAAAGACAGAAAATGGTACCCCTGTATAGGGGACTTACCATGAATGGAGCTTCTAGGAATGGAAGTTGCTCTTGAGTGAGTAAGTGGTGAGTGAATGTGAAGGCCTAGGACATTCCCGTACACTACTGTAGAATTTACGAACACTGTACACTTAGGCTACACTAAGTTTATTAAAAATGTTTTGTTCTTTCTTCAATAATAAATTAACTTCAGCTTACTGTAACCTTTTTTACTCTAGAAACTTTTAAATGTTTGAAAAACCTTTGACTTTTGTAGTAATATTTAGTTTAAAACACACATTGTACAGTTGAACAAAAATATTTTTTTATAGCCTTATTCTTTTTTTTTTTTTTTTAACTTTTAAGCCTTTTTGTTAAAAACTAAGACATAAACACACACATTAGCCGAGGCCTACACAGCATCAGGATCATCAATATCATTGTCTTCTGCCTCCACATCTTGTCCCACTGGAAGGTCTTCAGGGACAGTACCACCCGTGGAGCTGTCCTCCCCTGTGATGACAATGCCTTCTTCTGGAATACCTCCTGAAGGAACTGCCTGAAGCTATTTTACAGTTAATTTTTTTTTTTTTTTTAATAAGTAGAGTACACTCTAAAATAATGATAAAATGTATAGTAAATATATAAACCAGTAACATAGTTGTATATTATCAAGTATTATGCGCTGTAGATAATTATATGTGCTATACTTTTACATGACTGGCAGTGCAGTAGGCTTGTTACCCAGTGCTACATTGGGACAACTATGATGTCACCAGGTAATCGGAATTTTTCAGCTCCATTATAATCTTATGGGACCATTACTGTATGTCTGTCGTTGACTGAAAAGCAGGATAAGGGAGTGGGGTGATAGAGAAGACAAAGACTTTCTTGAGGAGGTGCCTTACTTATAAGCAAGTATCTGAAGAAGTGGTAGGGTATTCCAGGTAGAATCAGGTACTGATTAGAGCAAGAGGCAGTAAAGAGGATGATGAATGAAGATGTTGTGGACTGACTAAGTTACTCAAGGCCAATGGAAGGGTTTGGGGGTTGAAGAAGAGTGGGAGCTTGAGGAAGATTATAGCTAAATAGAAATGTTATGCTGGAGTGAAACTATCTCAGCCCAAACAAAGATGCAGGGCAAGACTGAATCGGCCCTGTCAGTTCTTAGTGGGAGGTGGATAATCAGTTCTAACATATTATCTTCTTGGGAACTGGTAGTGGTAAAGTGGAGAATGTTAGGTAGGGATGGGGAATGCTAACCAAACCAGAAGCAAATGGAACACACAGGAAACGGTATCTGCTGGGGAGACTAAATAATACATGTAAAGCAATTAACATAGTGGTAATGTGTCAATAAATGGTAGCTATGATTATCCATCTCAGAGTAAAAGTATACTTGCGGCATTTTTCAAACTTTAAGAGTACTGTGTGGGACAAAGGCCAGAGCCTTGTGAAACACAAAGAGAGACTATGCGTGCTGTGCTAACCTTGTCCTCAAGGCCTGTTACTCTGTCACAGGCACAGCATTGACCTGGCAGGACTTAGCCTAACCTTCTGGGGATACCCAATAACAGTAACCCAGTCACCCATTGGGTCTCTTCCTTCCAGTCATACAGGTCACTTGGAGTAGACTAGGCGGGCCAAAAATTGAGGAAGGGTCACAGAGCGTGCTGCTCTTGGTAATCAGGCTCCTTCCATCTTTATATATAAATATATATTATAATTTATTTATATATTAATATATATCAGGCTTCTATAGATATATATCTTTATATATTTATGTAATATATAAATATATTTATAATTTATATAATATATAAATGTATTTATAATTTATATAATATATAAATATATTTATAATTTATATATATTTATATTTTTACATATATAAAGATAGAAGCCTGATTACCAAGGGCAGTAATTTCTGGATTTCTACCAACGGTGGATGACTAAAGGATTCCTAAGCTTCCCCTACTCGGGATCCGCAGTGACCTTGTAGTATACTTCTCAGCCCATGGCCAAATGCCCTTGAAGGTCTGTAGCCATAACACAGTGAACAAGTCTGATGACATGATGAATAAGCCTAAGCTTGTCCATTTCAAGACAAGAGCTGTCAATCTTGCCCTTGTATGGGAAACTAGAATTCCCAGCTACTTGTGACCACCCTGATTTTTGGGGTTTGGGCTGAGCTATAAATAGTGCAGACATCCAGATGTCAGGCTATAATATACCCTCCACAACTTAGGGGTGGCCCGCTTTGGTTTCGGTGCGTGTCAGTAGCAGCCTACAGACGCAAGGTGCTGCACGGTCTGCACGCTCCATACACACTGATGGCTGCTTCCCCGACTGTAACTGCAGGGAAGGCAGAAGAGCTCAGAGGTTGTCAGTGCCACACCGGGTTGGTATTTCATTTTCTTGCCCTGATGTTCCTTCACGAAAAACAAATACATAAATAAAGACCTCGACATTTTTTTGGTTGGAATGGTCAGGCCATGCCTGCCTGGCATCATCACTAAAGATCGTTATCAGGCTAACCAAACATTGTTTTCCCAACCTTCCTGGCTGCTCCTACTGCAGTTGAGGAAACCGAAGCTTTTAGTTTTCCTGTTCTCTGAACCAAGGTGATGATTTCCTGGCTTCTTGATCTTTTTTTTGTTTTCATTGTATTTTCGACTCTCTGAAATGTTTTCACAGAGGTCTTTAAACCCTACTAACCCAGCATGTTTTTCCTTTTGTTTTCTCCACACCCTGAAGTAAGTGGCTTCTCAAAAGCACAGACAGCTAGAGCAAGATGAAGCCTCAGGGAATAATTTAGGCCAATCCCTTCCCTTCAGCTTGAGGAGTAAGGGAAATACACTGACATTTACTGGGAACTACCACTTGCTAGGCATAGAGTCTACTTCTGGCATTTTGCATAATTACCTTATTTAAACCTTAGCTCTGAGAGGTAGATGCTTTATCCTCCTTTTTTAGACAAGGAAACTATGGTACAGAGAAATAAAGTGGCCTATGTGAGATCATACAGTTAGCTAGTGACATAGCCGAGACTCCAACCCAGTGTTTTTGGAGATTAGGCCAGGGTGCTCCTCTCTACCATAATGGCCTGGCTGAGGCCTGCCCACTCGGTCCAGCTTTAGTTAGAAGTGGGCTTAAGGCAAAAGGGCTCTCAGAAAGGTGATGTCACAGGGAATTTAATTAAAGGTCAAATTCTGGCAATTGTGATTAAAATTTTATATAGCTTTAATAGAGATATTAGTAGCAGACTCTAACGTGCTATTTATGGTAAGATGGATTAGGAAAGGTTTTCAGCAGAGAAAACAGTGAAATGGTTAACATTTTCACAAGAAAAGGGAGTATCTGTCCTAAACGGGCAGAACTGGCTTGAATTCAAAGTAATTATATAACTCCTGACTTCAGTCATGGCACTCTCCTAAGCAGGTAAGTGATATTTTTCTTGTGACCTTTCCTCAATTTTTGTACACGTACCTGTGTATTAAATTTCTGTTTTGTTGAACTGAAAAACTGGTCAACAGTATTCCTTATTTTACGTACACACTATTTTTGCAGTACACAAAATAAGCTTAAGAATTTTTATATAAGATGATCTGATTCATTAATTCCGAGTCAAAGAATATGTAAGAACACTTCTGTATGAGATTCTGTATGTGTGTGTTTATGTGTGTGTGAGAGATACAGATATACAGAAAGAGGCAGACACATGCATATATTCAAAGATAATGAAACAGAGGCAAGGAGGTAGAATTTGACAAGTTGAGATGGTTAAAGTAGCTGTACTCTTGGTGTACTTAAAGAATGAAGTATTTTAGGCCTGGCACAGTGGCTTATGCCTGTAATCCCAGCACTGTGGGAGGCCGAGACAGACACATCGCTTGAGGTCAGGAGTTCGAGACCAGCCTGGCCAACATGGTAAAACCCCAGTCTCTACTAAAAATCCAAAAATTAGCCGGGCTTGGTGGTGTGTGCCTGTAATCCCAGCTACTCAGGAAGCTGAGGCAGGAGAATCGCTTCAGCCCAGGGGATGGAGGTTACAGTGAGCCAAGATCACACCATTGCACTCCAGCCTGGGTGACAGAATGAAACTCCATTTCAAAAAAAAAAAAAAATTTGGAGACAAGTTTGGATTCCACCTATTTAATTAGCAGTCAAGGTCCTCCAATGAAAATGTGCTTTACTCTCAGCACATTCAGGCTTTCAAAGGTTGTTTTCCTTTAATTGTCCATCAGACATTTCCCAAAATCCTAGCAGTGATGTACCTCACCTATCAGTCAATTACAGAAGCAGAATGACACTGCTTTGTTGAAATCAGGGGTTTTTTTTGGAGGGTTTTAAAAACTGACTTCAAGTTCAGCTGAGTTATGTTAATACTGCTTGGCTGCGCTAATGACTCTTTCCTACTGCACATTCAAAAGACAAGAGCATTGGCAGGATTTTAGCAAAGCAGTAAGTTTATCCCAGTTCTATTCAGAGAGGATCCCACTGAAACCAAGTAGAGGAGTGACTCTATGCTAGTGTTTCTCAGCCTTTCACATCACATTCATCCAGGGGTACTTAACAGAAATACAGATTCCCTATTCCTTGGGGTTCTGACTCTAAATAGAAACAGAATCTCTATTCCCAGGGATTCTGATTCTAAACCAGAATCTGATTCTAAATCAGAATCCCTGGGAATAGGGCCAGGAATATATATTTTGAACAAGTTCCCAGGTGATTCTCGTGCACACTAGAGATTGGGACCTCTGCTCTACACTATAGGAACAGGGCTGGCTATGCTCAGGCATAGTACCCCTACCTTCGTTC